ACCTATTTTTACTATAAACATCCCCTCTTAATGGTGGGAGTATTATTCTGCCTAGATGCTGCTCAGGTTTAGCCCTTTTGCTTTCTCTTCAAGAAGGTCTGCCCCCAAATCAAAAGCCAGTTTGGGATAAGCTGACATTTTGATTATAATAAAAATGTTCATAATAAAAAACAAAATCTCTCAATCTTTAAAAGCAGATTTATAATGCGTCTGTGCATCATTGACATTCTATGTACACTGAGATTTCAATTGAGAATGAAAATAAGGGGCAAAAACTGTTTGCTCCTGCAAAGAGAAGCTCGGAATGATCCAGTGACATTGGGGTTTCTGTTTATCCCTAAGGCTCTACAGCAATGGCTTCTAAGTTTGATGTTGTCTTTTTTCTTCTTCTTTCTTACTTTTTTTTTCTTCCAAAGATGTTGAGCAGCAGGCTAATGGCTCCTCAGCAGGGTGCAAAGACAGCAGAAAGCTCTGGAATCAGATGTCAATGTGTTCCTAGGAGATACCCTGCTAGGACCGAGCTAACTAACCAGGGCTTTAGTCTCTCTTGGGGCCCATGCTTGAATAGCTCCCTGCCCACTCTCAGCTTCCTATATGCTCCCTGATTAAAATGCTGTCACAGATAAATCATGACTTCTCCCTCCCTCCTTTCTTTCCCCCATCTTTCCTTCACGTTTTCTTTCCCTCCTCTCTCTGTTTCAGAAAAGTTTAAAGATTACAAAGATGAATAAGCCCTGCAAAACTACCTACTTGCATATGTAAGTAAGCGTTCATGGAACTGGGCAGGTCTTTGGCATGCCCTCCCCACCTGGCATGCAGCAAGCACTAAGCAATGCCTCGGCCACATGTTCTTATTCTCCACTAGAGATATGTTTACAATACATGAGGTGAACAGGGCCACCACCACTTTTGGTGTTACTGATTGCCTAGTTATTACTAAGAATTAAACCCAGGACAGATACACCAGGTAGGCACTACATGCTGACTTATACCTTAGCCCTATATGTTTTCATGTATTTTCTGTCAGTCCCTTTCAATCAATTACTTGATGACTCCTGTAACTTCCTTATAAATAGATAGATTATTTTGGGAGTTCCACATTGCTTTTCCCTAACACAGTCAGAAACTGACTAGAAATTGAAGCCTCTCACATATAGTTTTGATTTTCAATGCAGTGAATAAGTGTGCGTTCCCACCTGGAAATAGAGATAACGGGCCTTCAGGTAGTTAAGAGTAGTTGCTTTGCTACTCTATCCTTTGCTTGGAACAAAGATGAAACTGAGCTCCCAGAAACATAAGCATAGCCTGATCTATTAGGGTATTTGACAAGTACAACCATTTAAAATCACAAAGTAAAACCAAACTATCCAGTGAAAGTCAATGAAGTAAAAATACTGTACTAAAGCCATATTCACATCTTCAACTTAGCCACATGTATACCTTCTCCTCCTCAACTCCCAATTTTTTCCTGTCCTTGAACCCTATAACCCTGTAGCTGCCTCTAACTTCTCTAGATTCATCTGTTCCATGCTGTTCCACTTGCAGGATGGCCTATCTCCATGAAAATCTATTTGCTTATGCTCTACACAAAATTTCTTCCTATCTATACCTACAACCTTGATGTGGGACTGAGGCTTTGGCCACTAGAGAGGGCTTTGTCTTTGATGCCCTCTTCTGTGCCCTTTGCCTTGGTCCCCAGTCTACCTAAGAAGGCCTTGATGGGTTCTTGGGCTCTGAATTTCAGAGCATATCGTATCAGTCCATTCACAGCAAGGATTCTGCCACCTGCATTCCTTCTTTTTGCTTTCCATCTCTCGACTCCTGGCTGTTGCTCTTCCATCAAACCTCACGCTGGTCTTTGAGAAGCATCTGAGTTGTTTCAGCTATGCTGTTTTAGTACCAGTGTCATATCAATGACTTTCCTCGCTTGTCATTTCTTTTAGAATTTGTCTTCTCACTACCCAGTGACTGATTCCATTTCAGGAGCACCAACAATTAATGTGATGTTATCCAGCAAAATCATGAGGAAACCTCCATTGCATGAGATGGAACACAGTAGGAACCCTCACAGAGGTTACTTAGACTAACCACACCTTCAGTTTGAAAGTACTTGTTGTTGTTGTTGTTGGTCGTGGGGCCTGAACTCTGCCTGGGCTCTGTCCCTCAGCTCTTCAGCTCAAGACTAGCACTCTATCACTTAAGCCAAGCACCACGTCTAGCTTTTTCTGCTTATGTGGTGCTGAGGAATCGAACCCAGGGCCTCATGCATGGAAGGCAAGCACTCTACCACTGAGCCACCTTCCCAGCCCTGAAAGCACTTTTGAAAGTTGATTTCAAATCTTGATTAAAAAAAAATGTACAGGGAGAAAATGAGGGAAGAAGTGACAGTGTTCAAAAAGAAATGTACCCATTACCTGACTTATGTAATTGCAGCCTCCCTGTAAATCACTTTTATAATATTAAAAAATAAAAAAGGAAAAAATGTACAAATAAAATTGTGAAAGTAAATAAAAATAGTGGTGATAAAGAATTTTAAAACAGCAAGATTTTAGTCCTCTGTTAAAGAACTACACTATGAACTTTTGTAAACAGCTGTTTCCATATTCCCCTTTAGAGTGGCATTCTCTTCCAAGAGCGAAAAAGGCAGGGAGAAATTTCCATGAATGGTAAGAAGCTGAAGCTGGGATCCTTTGCCCCAGAACAAAGGTTATGGATGCCCAGAACCCAATTCTGATGTATTATTTAACTTTGTATATGTTCCTTTCTTGCTGGTAAAGATATATATATATATATATAGATAGATAGATAGATAGATAGATAGATAGATAGATAGATAGATAGATATAAAACCTCTCAGATGAACAGTAAAGTAAAACGGATGTGGAAAAGTCAGGATGATGTAGTAATAATACTTATTCCCTACATCTATGAAGATAAAATTTTCAGTTTAAATTAACTTCCTTTTTTTTTTGGTGCTTAGGTTTGATGCTTGAGTTCAGGGCTGGGGTGCTGTCTCTGAGCTTCTTTTGCTCAAGGCTAGAGCTTTACCACTTGAGACACAGCTGTATTTCCTGCTGGTTTTTTTTTTTTTTTAAGTAGTTTATTGGAGATAAGAGTCTCACAGATTTTCCTGCAAAGGCTAGCTTTGAACTGCGATCCTCAGACCTTAGTCTCCTGAGTAGCTATGATTACAGCATGAGCCAATGGTTCCCCGCTTAACTTCCTTTTCACCCAAAGATTTTAAAGTATTTAATAGGAGGTACATGGTAATTACAATAATTGCTCATTGAGTCAGCAATGCAACAGATTAACATGCAAAAGCTTATGAGGCTTTTTCTTAGCACTTACTGTAAGTAACCCTGTGGGAAGACTATGTATATTTCTGGGTCATTTCAAAGTAGCTTTGCAAAGTAGTACCCCATATTAAACAACCACATAATACATGTCTTCAACCTCCTAAGTTTTACTATTGGTAAAAAAAAAATGATAAATCTCATTTATTGTCTTAAGTATGCCCAGGAAACTGAGTAACATTAAAACAAAATTTCCCCTGGGCAGCCAAAATCAATTGAGCAAAGGAAGAGATACCTGATCTAGAAGCTATGGTCTTCACACATGGGGCCAACTACTGCAGTAACATCCATGATGGAAGGAGCAGACAAGATGGAATGAAGGTTGAGGATCCCCTTGATTAATAAAGTACACATCATTTTCATCCCTCCCCCTTTCATTATTATAAAGGAACATTGTGATCATTTGTAACTAAACTAATTGATTTTAACTTCTTTGAAAGCTCTATCTGGTAAAAACAATGCTGGCAGGCATTTAATGGGTCACAGAAAACAAAAATGAGTTTTTGTTATTAATTGTTAATAAAACTTACATTTCCATCTTTTAAGACAGTGTTCTAATTTGTTTGTTTTCAGGGTACTGTGACAAGGCTCAGCAGTTCCTAAAAGTACTGAAAATAATGTGGCAGCTAAGTTTGAGATTTAATGGTCATGGGGTCCTTAAAAAACAATACTGGGTTTTTAATGGAGTTCCACAGAGTGAGAAACTAAAGAGGTTTGCTTTCCCTGCATGTTTCTTGCTTTGAAGTTAGAAATGTGGCTCAGTCTGATTGAGCTAGGTTGGGGGTAAAGAACTTGCCAGGTTTTACAGATGAAAGCAAATGCTTAGCAGTGGAAGTAAAAACCAATGTACACAAAACTGTTAGTGTTTAACGGATGCCAGTCCTCACTGGTACTCAAAAAGTGATGTCTGAGCCATTCAAAGCCGACCTGGGTCTCCTTGCCAGGAGCAGGTTTGCACACCAGGCAGCCTGGTATGCAGAAATCATTAGTGCAGCTCACTTAGAAGTCACTGGTGGGGAGAACTCTCCCACATGCTTCTCAAAGAGAGGCAGAATTACATGGAAGGTGCTTCCTAAAGTTGGGTGGTCCAGATCAAGGGGTCAGAGCAGAAAACCACGTTTCATGGAAACCCCATGTCTCTCATGACATTAATAAAAGTGAAAGAAAAAGTGGTTAAAAAAAGAAAAAGAAAAACAATTCCATGGTCAAATATATTTGAAAAACTGAAAGTTAAGCAAGGTTAAACATGTTTCTTCCCTGCCTACTTCTTCTCTAAGCATGCAACATTTTAAGGAGAATGGGATTTCCTTTGTTACTAGGCTTGCTGGCTGGTTTTGAAGAGATAGCTAGCTATTAGACAATGCCTACATACTGTGATCCAAGGGACACAGCCTGGGAAATACTGAAATAAAATATTATTATCCTTGGTTTACAGAAGAGGACGATGAGGCTCATGGAGAAGATGGTAGAGGTCTCAGGCCTGCAGCTCCCTAGGACCAACTCTTAGGTCAGAAATTTGAGAAAAGACAAATTTCAAAGTACATATCCTGAAAGAGTCTCCTCAAACCAATGCTTCTGAAAGTGCTTGACACATGCTTTCTTTACTGACTCAGTGAGGACAGGCAGAGCTTCCCAAGTCAAGATTACCTGATACAAGGGCATGCAGATGCTATCAATCCACTCCAGTTGCAAGCGAGGCAGTTCATCTTTCCGGTTCCGGTCAAAAATAGCCTAGAATGGAGGAGGAGAGCTTTGCTTTACTACACCGGAGTATTTTACAGGGCCTTTGTCAAACACTGTCACAGTGGTCCAATTTCTACCAACTGAATACTTCACATATCACCATCAATATATGTATTTTCTTTTCCTTTATCTGTGAGGAAAATCAAATATTTTCACCCTTAAAAACAGATTTGTAAGTGAATATATTTGAACTTTATAGCACACCCTGGGAGCTAGGTATGAATCCAAGGGAAGGGGACATATTATACTGTCACAAAAATAATAGAGGACTTTTATTTTTACAATGAGAGGGTGGTTCAGAAAAGGATAGATAGAAAAATGTTCTTAAAAACATTTTTTTAAAAGTAGAGACCAAGAGCATCACACAAATAAATTGATAAGTTGAATTGAAATTCTTTTGACCAACTACTTAAATATAATACAAGATTAAAAAGTAGAAACCATTTACATTATATTTTGAAGGTGAAACATTAGTTTGGTAATTATGTAAAACTTTCAATAAGATTCTGTCATGAACAAATTCCTATGTATGTATGGGTAGAAGTGGAAGGCATTCAATCTCTTCACTGCCCCCTTTAATGATGTTATAAAATTTGATATAATTTAGGTATATTTTTGAATAAAAAGAATGGCATTTCTGTTAGGAGTCTTGGCAAGGGAAACAATTGGAATCGGAGGAGTAAAATATACAAAGTCAGTTCTATGCCAGAAAGAATGTCTCCCTTTGTTCTTCAAGAATAAAGCCAGAGCCTAAGAAGCTGCCTGTGCTCTTATTGGTTTGGCAGAGAGCACTACTGAATTATATCTCATCTCACTGTATCCTCTCAGAGGAGGACTGTGTCTTTCCTCTAGGTAAAATGTGGTGTCCACATGATTTGGCATTCTTTCAGGTTATGGAGGCACATACAAGCCATCTCTTTGGTTCAGAGATGTTGGAAAAGCATGAATTCTTAAGATTGAAGTAGTGGGGCAGAAATTGCTAAATATAAAATGTGAAATATTCAGAAAGAAGACTGGGATTCAGAGAAGACTGCAAAATATGCCGGAGAAAGTGGTAGCTTTTGTGACTCACCTGAATGTTGGTTCTCTAAAAACATTCATATACAATTCTGTTTTAGATTACTATAATAAAATACCAGAGGCTGAGAAATTTAAAAAAAAATCAGTTTATTTAGCTCATAGTTCTGGAGCTTCATGGCTCTATGTTTGTCATGGTCTCCTTGCTGCGATTCTTGAGGTAGCATAAATTATCACATGGCAAGAGACAGGGCATCCACATGTGTGCCTTTTGCTGTCTCTCTTTCTGATGAAGCCACTGTGACTCAGATATGGGGAAGTGAGCTCCACCCTAGTGACTTTCTCTAATCCCAATCTCCCCCAAACCCTACACTTCTAAATATAACCAGATTCAGTTTCCAGTCTCTGAATGTCTTACCATGGGGATAAAATTTCAACATATTTAGTCCTGAGGGACACATTTAAACTATGTTCAAACTGTAAGGTTTTATTCCATTTTCTCTACAGCTCTTTCTACTATCTAAAGCATTTATTGTTTGTTTGTTTACTGTTTCTGATGGGTATTAGATACAAATACTTGAAAAATTCAGACTTTTAGTCCCAATTGTACAACTATTCCAAAAATGATTTTAGAACTTGAGTACTGTCGCCAAAAGCAATCATGCCAATACTAATAACTCTTCATTTCCTCTTGATCATCTAATCTTAGTCCCCACTAATGTACCTTCTGTAAGGATTTGCCTATCCTACATGTTTCATAAAAAAGAAATCACATATGTACTCTCTTGTGACTGGATTCTTTCACTTAGTATAATAATTCCAAGGATCATTCATATAACATGCATCAGAACTTCATTTAACTTTTTTTCTGCCTCATGGTGATATTTCATTGATTAGACATACCAAGTTTTATTCATAGACATATGAATTGTTTCCACATTTTGGCTATTCTGATTAGCACTTCTATGACCATTCATGTGCAAGTTTTTGTATGGATGTATGTTTTTATTTTGGGGAGACGGGGGATATATTTAGAAATAGAGCCCTGGGTCATTTGGGAATTTTATGTTAATTTTTTTTTCAATTGTGGGGCTTGAACTCAGGGTCTAGGCTCTGTCTCTGAGCTCTTCTGCTCAAGGGTAGGGCTCTACCACTTTGGGTCACAGTCCTACTTCTGGTTTTCTGGTGGTTAATTGGATATAAGAGTCTTATAGACTTTTCCTGACTGGGCTGGCTTTGAACCATGGTTCTCAGATCAGCCTCCTGGGTAGCTAGGGTTACAGGTGTAGGCTAGCATATATTTAAATTTTGGATAACTACAAAGCTGCTTCTCAGAGCACTTTCACTATTTTACATTCCCACCAGCAATTTATAGAGATTTAACTTCTTCACAACCACACCAACATTTGTCATTTTGTGATTATCATTTTAATTATAGTCCTCCCAGTGGGTGTGAAATACTACTTCCGTATGTTTTCCATTTGCGTTTTCCTGATATCTAATTATTTTGGTCATCTTCATGTGAATATTAGCCATTTTAGTATTTCTTAGAAAATGTATCTATTCAAATCCTTTGCCTATCTTTTAGACTGAGTTGTCTTTATATTTTTGCTACAGTAGTTCTTTTCATATTCTAAATATGAGGTAACTATGTGATATACAATTTGTAAATAATCACACTTTTTGCAGATTATCTTTTTACTTTCCTGGTGGTGTCCTTTGACGCACAGAAGTTTTTAGCTTCAATGAAGTTTCATTTAGTTTTGGTGAAGTCCAGTTCAACACCTGTGAACTAGCATCTCTGGATCATTCCTAATTTTGTTTCTTCTTGTAGCTTCTGTATAATATCTCAGACATCATTGCCAAATCAAACTCTTGAAGATGTCTATGTATATTTTCTTTAAAGATTTTATTGGTTTTACTATTACACATGTCTGTGATCCAGCTTGTTTGTTTGTTTTGGAGTACAGTGAGTGGAAGGGCACTCACTTCATTCTTTTTGCCTGGAATAGTCAAGCTGTTCCTGGACCATTCATTGAAAAGACTTTTTCATGAATGTCAGACAATATCCTGACATTCCTGTTGAAATTGCTTGACCATAATGGTAAGGCTTGTCTTGGACTAGTCACTTCTTAATCAATGTGTGACCTAAGAAAAATGAGTGTAGGTACAGTATTGTGCTTTCCCTTAGCAGCATTTTGCATCTGGTATTTATTACTGATTACTTATTGCCCACTTCCCCAGCTGGTTGACAAAATCTAAGAGGGCAGGGAAAATCATGCCTCTCTCATTTCTGGAGGAACAGTGCTTAGTTCCATGCTTGGTACACAGAGGTACTCAATCACATTTTATTAACTCACTGCTTCTAGAATTATCCTGTCTGTGGTCCAGATTAGCTTTTGTCTCTAAAAGTTACTGTGATAACCTCTAGGACTGTATAACATATGGAGGGGAGGGAGAAGTTCCAGGACAATTTTCTTCCTAAATGTCAAGGGAAGGTGGACATGGTGGATGTCAACTCTTGGTGAATGCACTTCTAGAAGCTTTTGGAAAGGCTTGTCTCCTGGGGGGAGACAATTGTGTGCTGTGGTACGTAGCCTTTTGTGAATGTAGAGGAGAATTTGGAGCTGTTTCCACCACAAAATTAATTTCATTATGTCTTCAGAACAGACCTTACCTGAGACTACAGATAAAGGCCCTTAGTTCTGCCCTGCTGCTCCTGTCTGCTCACTGATGCCAGCAATTTACTCTTTTCTTTCATTTAATTAAATGACCTGTGGTATTGCTTCACTATAAACCCTTCAGAATATGCCTCTGAAACATCTTTTAAAAGGAAGAAAAAAAGTTGTTATTTAAAAGTAGATATGTAGCTGAGAGAAATTCGGGTTATATTAGGTTTTCCATATAAACCGAATATATCCTAATCTAATATCTTTTCTTTTCTTTTTTTTCTTCAGTCATGGGGCTTGAACTCTGGGCTTGGGCTCTGTCCCTGTGGTCTTCAGCTCAAGGCCAGTGCCCTACCACATGAGCCACAGCACCACTCCCAGTTTTCTGGTGGTTAATTTGAGATAAGAGTCTGACGGACTTTCCTGCCTGGGCTGGCTTTGAACCATGATCCTCAGATCTCAGCATTCTGAGAAGCGAGGCTTGAGCCACCAGCGCCCAGCTAATATCTTTATTTTTATAACCAAATTTAGTAACACTGCTAACAAAGACTGGTATGCGTTTCAGTCTATTTAATCTGGCTTTTATTAGATAAGTAACTAGTTAAGAATAGTTGAAATCAGCTGGGCACCGGTGGCTTACACCTGTAATCCTAGATACTCAGGAGACTGAGCTCTGAGGATCATGGTTCTAAGCCAGCCCAAGCAGGAAAGTCTGTGAGACGCTTATTTCCACTAAACTACCAAAAAATAGCTGGAAGTAGAGTAGTGGCTCAAGTGGTAGAGCATTAATCTTGAGCAGAACAAGTTCGAGGATAGAGCCTAGGCCCTGAGTTCAAGCCCCAGGACTAGCAGAAAAAAGAGAAAGAAAAGATTCATTCTCAAATAATAATTGAAAAGTTGAAGCCAGCATTCTGGCACCAAAACCTAGTTCGTTAGGTAAAACTTTTCATTTTGCAAATAAATTGGTTGGAAATGATTTGCTTTTGAGATTCTGAATGCTCTAAACTTTAAGACAAAAATCCAAGTCCATGACAGAGGATCACTTAAAGGCAGGTATGAAATGCTAACTCTGGGTCTGATCTGTCAAGTTCCACTTGGCACTTCTTCCTTCATGCCTACTTGTTTGCCCCATTGAGGGTGCTCAGGAAATGCTTGTTACATAGCGTACCACTTTTAGGCAGAAACCTGGGCATAAGAATGTTTGGCATTTAAGCTTAATTAAAGTTTAAAGCTTTCAAAGTCTTTTCTTAAATCCTTTCTCAAGCTTTTCCAATTTTGAGTTGTGATTTGGAGTTATTTTTGGAAATATCATTTAGAAAGGTAAATACATGATAATGACAGCATGACATACTGAAGGAGTGAGTTTAAGTTCTGATCTTTCTCGATCTCCTTGTTCGAAGAACTCACTAGTCACAAGTTCAGCCACCTGAAAGACAGAAATATTTTAACTTATGTGTGGTTCATCATGAGACTTGGAAGTTAGTTCTGGCTTATTATATGGCAGTTATCTTCAACACCCACAGTCATTTAAAAAGCTGATAAGGGAGTATATTAACCTTTTGTGTTGCAGAATTTAATCAATGAAACTGATTTCCTTTTAATGGGAACCTGTGCAATGTACTTTTAGGTGCATGCCAATGGATAATCCACAAAAAGTTTCTATACAGAAAAATGAAACAATAATTCAATCATATCATATCATTTGTTATCATATTCTTTTATTAAATGGTAGTAATCATTTTTTATTTGTCTGTCTAGATTCTTGTATGTGTGTGTGTGTGTGTGTGTGTGTGTGTGTGTGTGTGTGTGTTGAATCCCTTAACTTTTTCACTCAAAGCTAATACTCTACCACTTGAACCACATCTCGGCTTTTGACTTTTTGCAGGATAATTGGAGATACAAATCTTACAGAATTTTCTGCCCAAGCTGCTTTCAAACTGCAATCCATAGAACTCAGGCTCCTGAATAGCTAGGGTAATAGGTGTGAGCGATCAGTACCTGGCTTCTATGTAAATTCCTTACTGAGCTCCATACTTTTATCTCAGTCTGACTTTATCTTGTAATGATAAATCCATCACAACTTCCTTCTACTAATATTTGTGTGCACTCTGGAAAGGATAATCTCAGAGCATTCTCTACTTTCTACTATAGCTATCAACCAAGAGGCAAGACTAATGCAAGCTTCCTAGGTCATACCAGACCTTCTCACGTTGTTATGATCTAGTTTGAACAACAGTCTTTGGGCTATCTGAATCTGTACTGAAAGTGTTTATGTATGGCACACTCTACTTGTTGCAAGCACAGTGGAATGGATATTCTTCCTCAGACCACTGATAGCTTTGTTTTCCTACCTTTCATCCATTAGTGTAGATGATCAACAGCCAAGCTAAAGAGATTATTTTATCTCCCAAAGACTTTCCTTCTCAGCATTTTTTGAAGGAATTGATCTAACAAATAATTGTTGAGAAGTAACAATAACAATATGATGTGCACCGAGGAAAGGTTTGAATGAACTACCTGGATTTACAAAATATTGGAAGGAAAAGGGAAAAAAAATCTTAGACAATTGATGGCAAGAAGACCTGGATCCCTACACTAGGCTTTCTTTGTCCTGTGCTATTAGAAAGATCAGGTCCTATGTCTGGCAACAGTGAGATGAGTTTAATTTTGGTCAAGGATACTGACTCAAGATATTTACATAATATATATATATATATATATATATATATATATAGTTCAAAAGATGGATCACAGATAAAACTTAACTATCTTAAATACCGTATCTTCCTGAAATACAAGAGTAGCAAGGATAAAGCCATCTATTATGGGGAAAAAATCCACCAAATATCCAGTAAGGTCAGATTCTTTCAAGAATTTAGCTGCATAAACATAGCAGGATATACCAATGAATGGATAGAGAAAATGTGGTATAATGCCCAATGGAGTATGATGCAATCATAAAAAAGAATAAAATTGTCACATGCAGGGAAATGGATGGAACTGCAGGTCACTGGGCTAATGGAAATAAATTAGACTTACAAGATTTTTTTCCTCATCTGGATGTATGTATACTTGTCTATGTATATGCTTATGGTATATATTCACATAAAAAGGGGGCTGTATGAGGAAAGCCACCAGTGGGCGGGAAGGAGATGATGTTGGTAGGTAAATAACAAAGTAGATTATGAATTTGTGAAAATAATATAATGGAATCTATTTAAATTGTATAAAAAGGGAGGAAGTTGGAGGAGAATAGAGAGTATAGAAGGAATGAATTTGACCCAAATACATTTGATGCATGCATAGAACTATCACAATGAACTCCCCTTTGTACAAAAGTGACTCAAAAGATTGCCTTCCCACCAGCTGACTATATAGTCCTTTGGCTGGTATGTTGTGTGTTTTCTAAGACTTGATTTAACTTTTCCTAAAATGCTACTGCCTTTGATTTTAGCATCCCAGGTCTCCATTCTCCAGATTTCCTTTAAAGAAGAAATCATACCCATAGGGTTTCTCCTCATTAATCCCAGAACTCTCCCTCAGCTAGCTCTGAAGCTGGGTCTTCTACATTAAAAAATGGAAATGTGCACATCAAGTGCGCCATGGTTGGGAGTCCCGCACAGGTCTACAGCCCTTGGAAAGCAGAGAAATTAAGACAAAATCCTACCCTTACTCCTTCTAAAGAGGTCCTGAGTATCTCCCCAGTGTTTCTTTCACAGCTTAACTTGTACTACTGTTTTGTTTGTACTTAAAAACCCAATCAGGAACATTAAGTCGCTCCTGATTGAATTTTTTATTAACGAAGGAAATTGGGATGCTAATCAGTCCTTGGGGATCACTGGAGAAACTCACATGCTCAGTGTCATATTTCTGAGGAGGAAAAGTGAATAGATTAAAGTGTTTTTTTTTTAAGGCAGTTTGAAAAGTAATTTAGAAAAACATCTGAGAAGTTAGAAATACATTTCTATTTTTAAAAGAAGGCCTCAGTTATGTCCAAATCTTTCCTGAAATCAAGAAAGAGTATAATTTAAAAAATATTTCAACCTACTCAATTTAGAGACAAACATGAACACGACTTGTCACAAGAATCCTGATGGAAACATTTGTAAAACTATAATGATGTTTTTATTTTCCTAGACTCCTTCTTGGTTTTCTACACTTACCAGTGGAACTTCACATCAAGAAATATAAAAATAATATTTATACCATTAATTGAGTAGAACACTTAGAAGTGTTTTTTGAGCCTCCCATGTTGATCTAAAATATCAGTGTAGAGATTATTTTTCTTCCAAATACTTTGTCCTGTGAATTTCTTGTTCCCTGTAGGATGCTGCTAAGATCCTGGCATGTCATACCTCACCTCATTGTCTTTCCAGTCTTCTCTATTTTTCTCCTCATCCTTCCAAGATATCTCCACCCTCCATCCTTCCATCCACTTAGTCCCTACCATAGCAGCTCAATCTACATTAGACTATGATGTGAGCAAGAAATAAATTCTATTTGGCTTTAAATATAATTTCAGAATATATTTGTTATTGCAGTAGAGCCTAACCTAACCTTGACTCATACAAAAATTTGTATGGAAGCAAGGTCTTGATGCTTAAAAAGAAAAGAAAGGAAAAGGAAATAAAAAAATTGAGTGATCCTAAAATACGTGGCATCAGCTTGGGTCCAGGTATCAGATAGCAGATCATCTATATAACATAATTTTGTGCAATTATTATTGAAGTAAAGCCAATGATATTCTTACTGAATTTACAGTCTTAGGAAAAGAGTCTGGAAAAAAATGTTAGTAGCATGTGATGGCTGATACTGACAATCCCCCCTCCTCCATGTATTCCAGGAAGTGATTTCAGGAAAGGATCATCAGGCTTATAAAAACAAATGAAAGAGATTAGGAAAATTCTAAGTCTTACAGAGATGGAAATTAAAGCTCTTTCTCAACTTCAAAACTAAAAATTAAAATTTAGGCATGCTTTAAATAACAAACATCAAATAAGGTGCATTCTTGAAATAAGAATCTAATCAAAGGTATGGCCAACACCCTAGAGTTAAAAACTCTGAGTTAGATGATAAGCAACAAACTCTGGTAACTGGGTGAAAATAGCTCAGGGAAATTATTTACCTACATAGTTCTCTAATATCTGTGAGGCCCAAGATACTAGGAACTGAGAGAGAGAGAGAGAGAGAGAGAGAAAGGGAGGGAGGGAGGGAGGGAGGGAGGGATGAAGAGGGAGAAGGAGGGAGAGAGAGAGAGAGGAAAGAAGGAACATGAAAGACAGAACATGAAGGAAAAAAGGAAGGAAGGTTGGTTGGAAGGTTGATTTTTATAGTTCTTTAATTCCAAATATAAGAAAGCAAAGAAATGCAGAGAATCTAAGATGTTTTGGGTAGGAAAAAAAAAAGACTGTAGATGTGATTACTGACAAATTGAAATAACTAGAATCAAAGACACAGACAACTGTCTAAATGTTTAAAAGACTTTCAATGCTAAAGAATCCAGGAACCCATAATAATATAAAACAAACCCTTCTTTAGGTGAGAAACAAGCTGAAAAAGCTTACTTCACCCTCAAATAATTGCACGTAAGATAATGGAAAGGAATAATTTCTAAGGATAAGGAACTAAAGGTGAAGGGAAATAATGAATGTGGAGGTAGCTCCCAGGGAGTCAGGCCCACTGCGGTGTGGAGAGCTCTTACAGCGAATGACCACAGGGATTTTAGAATTGCTTTGAATTACACACTGACTGCAAATGTTTCTGATCTCTTTCCTACTGAATGGGAATACTACAGTAGTATTTTATGTTTGGGGTGAATGTTAGATACTGTATTTTTGATATGCATAGGACTTATTAGGGAAATAGGTATAAATCTGCCTGAGTTTCTGGACTGAGCACTTGCCCTGATTGATAGGCCATTTGGGTTTTTCTCCTCAGGAGAGAAGAAGAATATATTCTATCTGCAAAAAGGAAAGAAAATTATAATTTTGGTGATTTGAAGGGCATGATAGTGTCTGTCTTTCTACTTGGTGGGCACATGAAAGCACTGTTCTTGGTAAAGTGAGGTCATGTGACATGTTTGGGTCAATGAATTGTTGAAGTAGGGCATTTAATTGTCAATGCAAGATCTTCTAGGGCCCTGACAGGAGATCCAGAATGATGCAGATAGTGCTGCTTCATCTGCACAATCCAAAATGAGGGCAAAGGAATACATGTTCATGAGCAATTTTTTTTTTAACCATGAGAACTGTGAGGTCTAGTGTAACATAGCATATTCTGTATAGACTGTTTATTCTATACTGCATAGTTTAAAATTGAAGATTGATGTATCCTATGTAGGAAAGCATCCTGGATATTGAAGTCTTGGAGCCTAGCCAGCTAGGATCCATTTTTACCCCTACCACCTGCTAGATATAGGATCTCAGATTTCCTATCTTTTCAAACCTCATATTTCTCATTTATGAAGTGAAGATAATAACTATATTTATTCCCCAAAGCTGCCAAAAATTGCTTCAAACTTTATGGCTAAGACAACAGGAATTTATTCTCCAATATATTTTTTGAGGACAAGAAAGCTATATCAGTTCACTGAACAGGAATTAAGATGCTAGCAGGCTGGGCTCCCTCTGGAGGTTCTGAAGAGAATCTATCCTTGCCTCTTTCTGTTTCTGGTAGCTGCCAGCATTCCTTAGCTTGTGGCCATATCATTTCAGTCTCCACATCATCTTCTTACATCGTCTTCTCCTCTTCTGAAATGTCTGATCTCTCTTACAAGGATACTGTGATTGAATTTAGGGCCCACTTGGATAAACCAAACTCATCTCCCAAATCAGATACTTTCTTAAATCACATTGGCAAAAATGCCCTTTCCTTCTCAATAATGGCTACAGGTTTCAGACTAGGACCTGGTTCCTCTTGTGTCTATTATTATGCCTACTATGGCAACTATACTTGAAGGCATTTTATGGATTAAATGAGATAATGTGCCTCGAACAGCTATATGTTGGTGCATGAATATATGTTATTCCCTAAAATGTCAAGTGTTAAGATATCAAGTGACTGTTTTGGACCCCACAGTTCACATATTAGGTATCCCATAAAGCTTAAATAATTAGCCAGCAGTCCTAGCACTAGAGAGACTGAGGTGGGAGGATTGTTTGAGACTGGGAGTTGGGCAATATAGCATGATCTTTCATCAGAACAATAAAATAAAATTTAAAAAAGGAGAGAAAACTGAAAGAGCTATTAACTTTTATCAGTAATTAAAGACTTTGAATTGGGTAATTACCAGATTGAAAACTATTGTTGCCATGAAACCAGAATTTGGTGGTGGTGAAAACAGAGAAATGTAAACACATGGCTGTTGTGATACAAATTAAATTGGGTGTTGCGCATGGTGGTCATAAAAGGCCTCTGATATCTGAATAGTATTAGGAAAGAAAAATACAATTTCCTTTTTAGCCTCTTTTATTTTTCTCTCCAAATGTGAAAAATAGGATCCTGTACCAAGACATGATTACTTATTCAAAAACCCTATTTTAGAAATGCTTGCCTTAAGAAGTCGTGAAAGTGTTGTTCAGATTTAGCACATTACAAAAATCTTGTAGGCAGAAATAGTATCGCTCAGTGAAGAAAAGACTGAGCTTAAATCCTATTGTGACTAAGCCTGCTGCTGTTTCTTTTTGAATATCATGTTAATGTGGATGCAAATGCACTAGGGTTTCAGTGTCTCACTTAGCCTCCCCCTACCCCCCCACACCCCATTCCCTCCTCTGCCGAGCCCTGCCATTAATCACCACTTGCCTGTCTGGAGATCTCCCACGGTTTGGTCACGGCTCCAAGGTCACAAGCTGTCATTAACATTGATCTGAAAAACAGAACCGAACAAAACAGCCTGAATGATCTTTTGTAGCATTCCTAAACAAACCCGTCCTAGATAGATAAATAAATAAAATGAAAACAAGGCCAGTTCACGTCTTCTTTCCCTCAACAAGGGGCAGCACTGTTTATAGTCCCTGTGTTTGGAATCTCTAGCATGCCACTACACTGCTGAGAAGACAAAGCGCTCACACATCCCCTGGTGGCCCTTTTTGTTTGGTCTGCAGCAAACCAAGGAAAGCAAAACACTCCTTTTTCTACACCTGAACCAGGCAAGCTCTGTTTAAAATAATTTATAATGCACAATGTTGCTGTTTTGTTTTTTGTTAAACTATAAGCCAGGGAATCAATATATTACACTATGCACATGTCCAATGAATCTTTTGCTGACTTCTCATTGATTGATGGTAACAGAAGAATATCCACACCAAAGAGGTGAGACACACGACATATAAGATGCAGGGTGCTCCTTCATTTTCATGGGCTCCATAGAGCTGAGATTTATGGGAGCCATACCATGTCATTCTAGTTTACTACCTGGATCCTACATGTTTTATGAGCATTATGAAGAAGAAACACCTTCAGCCATAGCTTTCATTAGACTGAGCATGTAAGAAAACACAGAAATGATTTGAATAAGGTCTTTGAGAGGCAGACTTACTAGAATTTTACATCAAATGATGGAAACACAGGAATGATGAAAACAACTGAAATGGTAGGTGGATTATAATTTGATGTAATGGGAAGGGGAAAAACAAGACACACAGTCTTTGTCCCAAACCTGCTTTCTTTATGTTAAAACTAACAGTAGGTGATGAAAGTAATATAGGATTTGAGCGGGGAGATCACATCTTGGCTGACTGCTTTTGGAAGAAAGGGTATGTTGTTAAAGGTCAGAGGGCTGTCCTGCAGTTGGGTCTTAACATTTTCTATGCCAGATCCCAGTGCCTTTGAATCATGTCTGCGGCCCAGATGGCAAAGCAGGCTCCACTGAAGGGAGGTTTGTATAATTTCACCAGGAAATCTCTCCAGGGAGCGAGACTGCTCAGCAAATAATAGGTTATTCAAGGCACAATCAGACTGCATCAGCATCAGCAGCCTGTTCAGATTGGAGCAGCACTTAGAAAGCAGCCAACTCCAAACAACCCAGTGTTAAGCATTATGCAAAAGGAAACACATGGGTCTACTCTTCATTTTTGATCCTTTGTATTATAAGCATTTCCATAGTACATACCGTATGCCTCTCTCTGTACTAAGTACTTACCCAACAAACTACTAGTAAGTGAATCCTTACTACTCACAGTAGTGAGCATTATCGTTCCTCTTTACAAATAAGTAAATAGAAGCATAGAGAGATTAGCTTTTCAGAGGTGAATAAAGAATTTACTATCCTGTGTTTATTACAAAGCCACTGGAACCCATCTCATTATATTCTTATACTTTTCTTTTTCTGTTCTGTTGGAATGAGAATGTGGGTTAACATGTGGGGTTTGGCAGTACCTCCTGAACAGAAAATAACTACTGCAAAGTTGCCTACTGGGATTATAATTTGTATAATTACTCAGGTTCTGTTCAATTGATCATTTAAAACTTATCATATTATTATTACCTTAACCAACTGATCAACAAGTTTCTTGCATAGCTGTTAGGTGCTCAGATGATGATGATTTTAATAGCATTTATTGAATAGTCACTTCAGGGTGATTGACAGTTTTTATTTGAGATAAGGGTTCTAATATTATTTCCATTTTTACCTACCAAAAATTGTGGCTCTGAATAGTTAGGTAGCTTGTCCAAGGTTAAAATTGCTAGGTGTGTCAAAGTTAGGGCTGAAATTCACAACGTCTCACAGAAGATTCCTTACACCAACAAATGCCCTAATAGTAAAAGAGCAGGAAGTCTATGCAGAAAATGATAGAAAAGGCTGGATGTAGGATAGGTTAATTGACCAAAGCCTTTACCCAATTAGCACTAAACAGAGGGATCAAGTAAAGTTGAAGATTTAAGAAGGATTTAGCCAGGCCATGGTGGCTCACGCCTGTAATCCTAGCTATTCAGGAGGCTGAGATCTGAGGATTGTGGTTCAAAGCCAGCCTGGGCAGAAAAGTCTGTGTGAGACTATAATCTCTAATAAATTACTCAGAAAAAGCTGGAAGTGGTACTGTGGCTCAAATGGTAGGGCATGAACTTTGAGTACACAAAGGCGAGCCCTGAGTCCAAGTCCTGAGTTCAAGCCCAAAGACTGGCAAAAAAAAAATGATCGTTAGACCTTTAGGGAGTAGATGTGAAGATCATTTGAAGAAGGAGTGGAAGGAGAGAGAACAAGCGTATGCATAAACTGGCAAGAGCCTAAAAGAAGGATTGACAGGGAGAGCTGAAATGCAAGGGCAAGGACAGATAGTTACAAAGGAAATACTAAAGGAGAAGAAGGCACAGTTATCATTATTATTATTTTTAAAATCAAGTTTCTGCAAGAATTTATATTTCTAGAGTGAGAGAACAGAGAGGAAGCTTGTATCAACTGTTCAAGTTCAGTCCAATTTATGATTAAGTGAATCACCTTGGTCAAATTGAATGCATGGCCTGAAAGAAGGGCATCAAATTTCTGTCCTAAGTAGCAGGAAAAGAATGGTTGTGTACCTAGCATATCTAATACTGGCAGCGGAACATTTTAAGTATTGTTATCTATTTGATTAGTTCTGTAATTTTAAAACAATTAATAATTTACACAAGAGGCCCTAGATTAAAACTCTAGAACCACCAAAAATAATTAAAAGAAACAATTTTTATTTTAATAATACATTCAAATTTAGTAAATAATTGTATGTTTGAGCTGAAGTTTCTCTGTACCCAACAATGTTGGGTAAAGAGAGCAACCTGTTTCATTGTTTAACATTTTAAAGACAAAAACCACATATAGTCACATAGAATGCCAGGATGGAAGGAACTCAGGTTATGTGTCTGTATGGTGCTATCTTTGTTCATTTCACATACACTGTGGAAAATAGGATTTTGTACAGCTAGAGGTATAAAATTCATTGTGAGTGAGTTGGTGTAGACTCCAGATATAGTTTACTCTGGAACATGAGGAGCTAAGTTCACTTGTTTGAGGGACTGACTATAAAACCAGGCATTTTTGGATTTTGCTTACATTATAACACATATACAATGAGAGGGTAAGAAAGAACTGCTAATTTCCTGTCAATTATTTTTGTGTTCAGCAGTAAAAAAAAACCAAAAAAAAACCAAAAAACAAAACTGGTTAGAATTTATCTCAACCAAGGATTTTCTTCAGGGAGAAATAGTACGTCACTGACATTATTCAAAGCTTAGGGCATATGGCAATGCAAACTGGCTTTTAGTTGGTTTTGTTACTATTTAAAAATTCTCTGCAGATATTGTTTTATCAGTGCCTACCTTCGGGGCATCTCAGTCAAACCAAGCAATGCGACAGGAAAGACAGACACCTGCCTTTTATATACTGTGCTTTCAAATAAGACATTTTTTCCTGGTGGGCTTCCCTGGAAAAAAAAATTGAAATTTTCTGCAGAAAAATATCTAGCTGGAAGCTGGGGACAGGTGATTCACGCCTGTAATCCTGACTATTCAGGAAGTTAATATCTGAGGATTATAGTTGAAAGCCACCCTAGGCAGGAAAGTCCTTGAGACTCTTATCTCCAATAAATTACCAAAAAAGCCAGAAGTGGAGCTGTGGGGAGAATTCCAAGGCCTGCAGTTAAATGGAAAAAGCAAGTTCAGTTTGATATGCAAATATGCAGTTTATGTTAAAATAATGTGGCATAAATATCCAAATATGTAATATACACACTTGAAAATGGAACAGTGAAGCGTGTTGAGATTGGTTTGGGAAGAGGAAGAGGACTGAGGTAGAGTGATAGAAGGGCTAAGTCAGTTATGCAAATGTAGACATGTCAAAACGAAACCCCCTTGTAGAATTGATGCTATTTCTTTAATGTAGGAAAATGATGGTAGGTGTTGGTGTTTCACATTTGTAATCCTAGTTACTTAGGAGGCTGCAAACTGGGGATCAGTTTCAAAATCAGTCTGGGCAAAAAATGTCCTTGAGATTTTTATCTCTAATTAGCCAGCAAAATGTCAGTATGTGAAAAAGCTGAGCCAAAGCACATGGCCCTGAGTTCAAAGTTCAAGCTTTAGTACTAACAAAACAAAAAACAAATAAGAAAATTGGGAAAAAGCAAAAATGGTCACAGGGTACACAGGTGTGTAATACTGTGGGAATGTCCAGGAAAGACAAAACAAGCTGATAATGGAAGATAGCTATGCAATCAGTATAGGCATTGGGTTGGAGCTCAAAGGAGACTGGGCATACATTTGTAATGATTTCATTCATTTCAGAGAAATAGATTCATATATTGCATAGTAATTTCACAGTAATTACAGTCATTCATAGTATTTCACACATGCATATTCATATAATGTGTATATAATTATTCATGGAATACAGAAATTACATGAAAAGAAGTCTTCTTGCAAGAAGTTGAGTGGACAAGTGAAATGTCAGAGTGATGGAAAGGGGGGAAAGAGAAAACTAAGATGGGACTTTGAGAAAGTCTGGCCTCTAATTCACTGTGTGACTTCAGGTGGCCTTGTACTCATGATCCTAATGCCTCAGCCTCCCAAATGCTGGGAATACAGCATATAGCAACAAGCCTTCCTTATTGAGGAGCTGCAAGCACATTTTTAGGTCTAGAAAGGCCATCAGCATCAAAACAAGATTTTGAAAATGGAAGCCAAGATCAGTCATCTATACTGGCTTGAAGGAGGGTATGGGGGGACAACAATAAAACTAGGATGAGTAGAGGTGTCATTTTGAAGAGAGGAGAGCTCTTTCACTCTGAGAAGAATGAAGAAAGGTCTGTAAAGGTAACCAAGAAGTATTCAGAGTGGAGAGGGATGAGATTAAACCCTCTGTGACCTCAAGAGACTTCCAAGTGAGGTTGGCTCCAGAGGGAAGGAGGCAGGAAATATCCTGAACTGGAAGTAAGGAGTTGATAAATAGCAGATATATAGCTAAGATAGGAATCACGCTTAGGGTAACTCATGGTTGCCTAGTTGTGAGCCCAAACCAGGACCTCATACGCTTCCCAATAAAACATAGTAGTGTGAGAACAGGAAGGAAACAGAAGAGGAAGACAGTGAGAGCATGGTCTAGGAGAGAGATCAATGACACTTAATGTGCTGGAGCGTGTGTAGAGTGGTTTGCTGTGCAAAGTCTAGAACAGGTCCTTACTTCTGCCCCACACAGTGTTTAGGTTGTTTTCTATCCACAGTGCTTATTATCCCTAAAGGAAAACAAAGGTAACTTACCACTTTTCTGCACTCTGGGTAACTTTGGTTCCTAAGGTTAAAAAATCCTGTCTCTGCCCACTTGCACCTTTCCAACACCAGAAAAAATGAAGAAATCAGGAGTTGGTGAAAGTAAATTAATTTTCTAATTTTGAAGATAGATTTATGGAGAGGAGAAAAAGAAGTAATAAATTGCAAGACAAAACGATCCATTCTTTATCTTGTCTCTAGTTGTTCAACTAATCTCAGGGTGTTTTGGATGTAAGTGAAGATTTATTACTTCAAAAATCTCTTAATATGCTTTTAGCACTGTCAGAAAAGTGTGTTTAAATGTTCAGATAATGAAAAAACACTGAAATATGAGCTTTTTCTTACCGAAATATATCACGATGGTTTTTGATGTCCCAATCATATTCTCCTTTACTGACAAGTTCAAAGAATTCAGTTCTCCTCCTGCAGGAAAATCAGATGAAGAAAAAAAGAAATAACCTGGAATGAAATTTCTGTCTGTGGGGTGACAGATACATTTATGGGGGACATATAAGACCACCTGAACCAACTGACTTAATATTTGAAATCATAAGGCTAAATAAAGCACTATTAAGTCACTTAAAAAAAAAAGAATGCTGAGGCTTCAAGAGATATCCACATCACTTCTGAATATATTTACAGTGGAGGATATTACAGAACCATAAAATGGAAGACAATGTGAAACTGCCTTCAGGATTATGCGCTGACACTCTGTGACACTGTAAGTCAGAGGAGGGAGGCAAGGACAAATAAAAAGAGCGGACAGTTGCAGAATGTTCTTTTATCATCCAACATAGAATTGAGCTGCATCATGACCCGAGGAAAGGTAGGCTCCCTAGTAGTAAATTCAGGATAAAAAATATTTGCTTTCCAGGTTGGAAAGCAACTATCTCACCATTTCAGTGCTTAAACACATCGGCTATGGAGACAGAAAGTAACTCTCAACAGTGACTCAGTTTCCTACACGCCGTGCAACTTTGCAAGGTTGCTTAAGCTATCTGAAATTCACTTTCTTCAAGTCTAATGTGAAGATCATATTTGCTAACCTAGGATTAAATGTGAGGATTAAATGAGATGATAAAAGTGAAACCTTTAGCCCAGAGTCTGATACTTTAAGTGTTTGATGAATCTAAACACGCACCAAACACACACACACACACACACACACACACACACACACACACACACACACACACACCATCTACTAATTTGGAGATATATAAAAGATAAAGATGGAACACCTGAAAGTTGTAAAAAGAGGAAGGTGCTTAGCTTGGAGGCTCATGGAAAACTTTCTGGAGGAGCTTCTAGTCACCATCCTCATCATTTTAGGCACCTGGATGGGCCACTTCAACCTATGAGTTATTTCAAGAAATTACCAGACTCCAAGCTCCATGAAGACAAGGGCCTGGCCCATTTCTGTTCACTCCTTCTAGCTCAGTGCTTGCAACAGTACCTGAAGCTCAATAAATATTTGTTAAATTGATGAATAAATTAAAATGATTACTTCAGAAAGTAATTTTTCAGCCACTGATTTCAATTAGGTTCTAGGGGCTTTACAGTTAGAGAAACTGAGATTCTAAAACAATGTGAGATCTATTTAAGAAAAATGCTGTCAGATTCCTTCAGACTAGAACCTACTGGACAACATAACAACTTACATGAAGTAAGAACACAATTCCCATCCAATATCTCACTCACTCTCCACTAAATATCTTTCTATCTGCAGATAGAAAGGGAAAAAACATTTTTGAGAGAAAGTGAAGGTATATTACCTAGGTGGTTAACTTATTGGGGAAAAAAATCACTTTTTAAGAAATATAAATCTTTGACATGCAAACTGAATACCATCATGAAAATAAATTCCATAGTGATGAAATATTAATAGGTAGAGTTTCTGGTATGAAATTCTTAAATAAACTGAATGCATGATTGGTCTTTGGTTTCATATGACACTAACAAAACCAGATTTCTTCACACTGGGAAGAGAACATTCATTACCCCAAGTCAATACCTTCTATTTATTCTGTCATTTCTCTGACTAAGGCTCCAGAAGTAATTCTGTCAAGTTAAACTTGGGACATCAAGGGCTGAGGGTTGTTTGGCTTGATGGTAGAGTACTTGATAATATGCACATGGACTGGGTTTAGGCCCTGGATTAAATCCCCCAAACCACAATTGGAACTGTGAGAAATCTAGTATTGATAGAACCGTATATACTGTATACCTGGTAATCTGTTTCCTCCCATCATAAGATGACCACATTCTCTGTTTGGTACTAAGCATCTTCACATATATCTTTATCATTTTTCTAGGTAAGTGATACACCTAGCATTGTTCTGCATTTTTTTTTTTATTATTTTTGGTCCGGTCGTGGGGCCTGAACTCTGGGCCTGGGCGCTGTCCCTCAGCTCTTCCGCTCAAAGCTAGCGCTCTACCACTTGAGCCACAGTGCCACTTTCCGGCTTTTTTCTTTTTGCTTATATGGTGCTGAGGAATCAAACCCAGGACCTCATGCATGCAAGGCAAGCACTCTACCACCGAGCCACCTTCCCAGCCCTGTTCTGCATATTTTAAACCTTCATAGAATAATATCATATTGAATGTATTCTTTGGCTACTTGCTTTTCAAAAAAATGATTATGAGATTGATCTGTATTGGTATGTATACTCTAGACCACTCTTTCTTACAGATGCATGGAGTTGCATGTATGATGATGCCACTGGTTATATACTCATCTTCTGATGATGACATTTTAGATTGTTTTCATTTTTTAAATTTTGTATTATTTATATTGTTTCTATGAACAACCTCGTACGCTTCTCCTTGTAAATTTGTGTGTGAGTACTGTGTGTGTGTGTATATATAAATAAATATATATATATATATATATATGAGTACAAGTAAAATTTCTGAGTCATCTGTTTGAATTTTCATTATAGTTGTAGACTATGAGTGTTGTCAATAACGTCTGAATGAGGTCTTCTATAATTCTCACATTTTATAGGTGGGGAAACTCAAGGTAAAGGAAGGTAAAATAATTCTCCCTGAGAAGTTGTGGGCAGGTCTAGTTAGATTCTAATTCCCCAGTCTCCATTTTGGGCCCTTGGGATAATCTTGGTAAACTTTAGGTAGCACACCTCTTTGAAGCCAGATAGGCCTTCATGTTGAGAGTTGATGCCATGTCCCAGCTGCCCATCTTCATGAGACAGGATAGCATCATGGGCATCTGTCCCCAGTCAGAGGCAGTACCAATTAAGGTAGACCTAGACAGAGATCTCTCCATTAAAGAAGGGCCCAGCCCAAGTTGATGGTCCACTGTGCAGGTAGTGTACTTCAGATTTCCTCATTCTCAACAATAATTACAAAACAACAAGAAATTTCACTGTGCTTTTTGGAATGAGTTTATACATAGAGTTTGTCCTTTTAGCGTGTGTGTGTGTGTGTGTGTGTGTGTGTAAATTGTAGAGTCAATGACATGAAACTGTTAGAAATAGAAGTACTTTTAGGAACAGGGGACTCTTAAAAGGAATGTTTGAAAATCCACAAAATTATATAATACTCCCCAGATCCAGACTCTTTTTGTCATGAGGAACTATGTCATTAACTTCTCAAGCAGATCATTGGGAACCTTGGATTTCAAGGACAATGGCAAGTACCTCAGCTAGTGAAAAGCAACTTACTGGAAAATCTCATTTATAATCAGATATGTTTTTATTAGGCTTTTATTCTGCTCTGCTGACATATGTTCCACTCAGAAAAATGGCAGTCTTTTAAAAAGCATCATTTCAACAGAACTGTTAAAATTACCCTCAAAAATAATTCCAAAGATTGGTTACGTTTACTCACCGCTACACTGAAGATCTTTCTGGTTTGTGATTTATCTGCGAGGCACCTTTTGTTTGTAAAATGAGAAATCACCATTCCTGTGTATATTTTAATCAGAGAGTGTGTGTGTGTGTGTGTGTGTATGTGTGTGAATTTAAATGTGTGTATCTTATACATGTTATCTGTTCATCTGATGATTTGACCCTCCTTAGCCCATGGACATTTGGAAGCTTTCCTGTGCAAGTGAGAAGCCATCCTGCATCGCCCCTGCATTCTCAGCTCCAGACTTACCAGGCAGAGGTTGCAGGAAGCTTATCTGTGTGGGCAGGGAGGGCAGGTGCAGGGGGAATCCTGTTCCCTTGGTGTTCTTTCAGTTTATTCATAGGTGAATCATACATGTGTAATTAGTTACTGAAGGCATATTCTGGAAGGTTTATGGGCTTTGGGCACCAAAGCTTTGGAAAGGGGAATAAAAAGTACTATGCAGATGTCAACTCCTGTCATTAATTTTTTTTTCTTTCTTTTTTTGGGGTCCAGTCGTGGGGCCTGAACTCTGGGACTGGGCACTATCCCTCAGCTCTTCAGCTCAAGGCTAGCGCTCTACCACTTGAGCCACAGCGCCACTTCCGGCTTTTTTCTTTTTGCTTATGTGGTGCTGAGGAATTGAACCCAGGGCCTCATGCATGCAAGGCAAGCATTCTACCACTGAGCCACCTTCCCAGCCCATGTCATTAATTTTTTTAAGGTAGGATCTTTCTGTGTAGTCCAGGCTGGCCTCATCCTCTTGCCTCTGCCTCTCAAAGGGTGGGATTACAGCACATCCAGCATGAAGTTAATTTCAAAGTAAATGTCCTCCTTGCTCTAGATTAGCATTGATAACATTAGCTAAACCCATGAGTGAAATGACCTTTTCCATGCTTTGTTTTGTTGATAGTTATAAATGAAGGAAGCAGAAAACCTTAAATTACTCTAAATGTAGAACATGGCAGATTGGAGGTTCTAATATTCCTGTCCAACACAATCAAAGTAGTTGTGAAAACTGAGATCTAGGCAGAGCTTGTTCCTGCTGCTTTGTGCAGTGACTCTGGCTATAGCCTTCCACCTGTGATAGTATTACTGCTTTCTTCCTTCCCCTGTGGGATCTATGTGCCTGTAGTCCTATGTTTAAGAATTGCTCATTTTCTATTTAGTTGTAATATCATGTGGATGAGTTTTAAAATGTGTGTGTTAGACAGGAACCAGTGGCTCATGCTTGTAATCTTAGCTATTTCGGAAACAGACTTCTAAGGATCTCATTTTGAGGCCAGTCCAGGCAGGAAGTCCAATCAGACTCTTATCTCCAGTTAACCAGCAAAAAGCCAGAAGTGGAAGTATATGGGTCAAGTGATAAGAGTACTAGCCTTGAGTGAAAAAAGCTAAGGGTTAATGATCAGGCTCAGGCCTGCGTTCAAGCCTTAGTAGCAGAACAAAGAAAAAAATGTGTCAGAAAAACTACCAAAATATTTAACCTGTTAAAGGCCCATATAAAATGGGATCACACACATACAAATCTACTAAGTAAACACTCAGGAAATCTCAGCTAATTGTGGCAGCTGATTAGGCCATCTTTGCTGACTTGCTTGCAGACAAATAGTACCAAACCTTTGTGACATCTCTTTGAAGTTGTAACGTTTGTGATTTTAGATGTCTCTCTCTGCCCATTCCAAGTGTCATCTTTTATGAAGCATATTTTATTAGGTTTCTGGCTGAATGATTTCTTTTTTATAAGGTATTTTAAATTATCAAAGCTCTTCCTGGTAGGTAATCTTTTTTGCCTTCCACAAGGACCTTAGCAGATGGGAAGGGTGAAATGCCTATCCTCATATTTCTGACAAGGAAACCAAGGCAGAGTGAGGTTAAGTAAGTGGGAGCCTCTCTTAGTCACGTGGCTAATCACTGACAGGGTATGTCTGATTCCTGCTTGAGCTGATAAAATTACTCTTTAATTATCAGGGACTGCAGGGACTAAGAAACAGGCACAGGAAATCAATTTCAGAAAATCATTCAACAGTAACCAAGTTTTCAGTGAGTTGGAAAACCAGACTAAATAATTAACCCCCCAGACTTGGGGTATGAAACCTAGACAATCATATCAAGGATTTGTTTGTTTTCCTATAAATCTTGTAAATCCTGCCTTTATGCACTGTGAGTGGCATAGAATCCCAAAGACACTTGAGCCATTAGAAATGGAAAGTTTCAAGATTGTTTCAAAAGAATCTCCACATTTCCATGCGTTTTTGTTTTTTTTTCCCCTCTCCTGGAGCACAGCAAGAATCCCTGTCCCTAGTAATGAGCCACAAATACTTCTCCAAAAGGCAGGATCCATTCCCTGCCACTCTGGTCGTTTCCTCAACTCTATCATGACATTTGATTTGAGTAGTAGGAGCAGAAGAACTAGTGGGTAATCAGACTTCAGAGCCAGATGTAGGGACCACCTTACATGCTCTAGACCCCATTTTCTCCAAATTTTGAACTATACCACTGAAACCACAGATTCTACCCTGGAACCAGTCCTGCTGGGATTCAATATGGAACTGGGGAGAGCTATAGAAATCGCTAGCCTTGAGTGCACAACCTGGAATTACATGGAAGTCAACACCCCTTAGAGTAAACTGGCTGACAAGGATGGATGCTAGTGGAAAGTTCTGAGACACAGACTTTCTCAGATGGTCCCATCATCACTGGTCAACCTGGCTAACCATGGAGATGACCAACAGGGAATGTATCCTTCCAGTGGCTTCCAGTGGCTTCCCTCTTTTCCATTTCACTGTCCCAGTCTCTGCCTCTGCTTCTCAGGCATTCTTGCTGTATTTCCCAAACTAAACTAACTATATTTATGCCACAATCTCCAATTGTGACTTAGAAAAGAATATATTAAACCCAGGTTCATGTTAATTTTAAGCTGATTAAAGTATAGCTGGGAAAGTCAGTATTGCCACAAACTGTGTCCTCAATCAACATATTCTTGATTCATTCCTTGGAAGGGAAAAATGGTGGTTGTAGGAAAGGCCCTCCTCACCCAAAGGATGTATGGTTTCAGTTTTGCCAATAATTAGTTACGTGACCAAAGCTACCCTATTTAACCAATGGAAACTCAGTACCTGATTTCTCAAAATAAAGGAGATGAATTAGATGGCATCATTTCTAAGATTCCTTCCAGCTCTGTGATTGTATGTGAAATAAAGCATCTGGGTGACAGTGTGTAGAGTTACTTTCCCCTTCATTAACTTGAGGGATTGTTTTGGCTAAAAATATGGCAATACTTTAATGCAGCTTTAGACAGGCAAGTGAATCAGTCCCCTGAAGGTCTAGATTAGAGAATGAATAGCTATTCAGAACCTCAAAAAATAATACTGCTGGCAGAAAGAGAACAAGCCAGCTTCTATGAGAGTCAGCAAACATTAGCAGGGGCTGCAGCATTAAGATAAGAACAGAGTAATGAGAAACCGACTCGCCACCAACTTCCCTGTCTGCATCCCAGCGGTCACTCATCCCTAACAAGGTTTACTTGATAAATGGACTCCATGGGCTGAGTTTTTTTTTCTCCCTTTAAGAGGTGGTTGAAAACTTGGTTTGGGAAAATGCTTCTACTTTGAAAAAAACCCACAAACACAAAATCCACCAGTGTCAGGGACAAGAAATAAAAACATTAAAGAATGCTTTCCAAAATCCCAGATCAAGGAGGATCAGTCCAGAAAAAAAGAAAGTCATGATAGTTAATGGAACATGAAAGCCACAAAACATGCAAAAGAAATATATCTATAAAGCAAGTGAGAGAGTTGATGTCATCCCTTGTAAGATATTTGAGATAAGTATTATCTCCATTCTACACATGGAGAAAATAGGCTCAGAAGGGAAGTAATTTAATGACATACAGCTAGTTAACAGTAGAGCTGGGATTCTTATCTTTTTAAGGATGTATGTTTATGTTAATTTAAATTTATATTTATCAAAATACTACATGGACATACTAACAAACCTAACAACAGCACTAAAAAGACATATAATGAAGTGTAGCTATTTTCCACCTTTCTGCCTTTTGTTCTTTGCATTTCCCAATGCTCTCATGTTGTGTTTCTAATTGTGATTATTTCTCTTAAGTGGTGTGTACTCATATTTGCTAAGCAGCCACTCACTCTACCACTTCTCTAGGATTATTTTTAAGGCATTCTATTATCGCCTCTTGTAGGATAATACATAGACAGACCTGGTTGAAGTAGATAAAGCCTGTAAAGCAGAAATGAAATACAAGAATATATGGGGGCAGATTATGGATGACTTTGAAAATCAAACCAAATTTAAAGCTTTCTTAGGAGGCAATGAAGGAAATAAGTGATGGAAATAAGAGATGCAAGCCTACAATGACAGGAGCTTGAAGTGAAGCATTTCTGAGTATTTCCTATATACAGCTAATTGTAATGCAGGTCAAGATAATATAGAAGTCAGTCATGAGATACAAGAAGAGAGAAGAAAGTGGGTTCAAATCGCAGGGAAGGATGACAGAGAAAAACAATGAATGGAATGTTGGGGAGGCAAAGATAAAATGTGACAATGAAAAGTCTGCAAACCTTTTTACCTGTCAAATGAAGATAGAAAAGTATCAAATCATTTGTGATCATTGACAGTACAATTTTGATAGATTGTGCAGATGCACTGTGCTCTTTGAGTGTCACAAATATAGAAGTAATGTACACTATTTATTTAAAAATAGTAAAATAAAAGCAAGTTGAGAAACAAAAATCTGCTTTGGATCAAGTGAGATAATTGAAAATTTGGTCTTTAAGGTAAGAGAAGATGAAGCGTATCACTGGAAGAAGACGGTTCCAGGCTGTCAAAAGAGGAGTTATTTGATTGAGTCAGTCCTCACAGGGAATGAGAAAGATGTGATTTTCTGCCCAGAGAAAGGCCTGAGCTGTGGAAAAAGGGAAGACAGCTCTTCTAAGAAAGAAAAAAGAAGAGAAACCAAGAACTTGACTGTCTGGTCAGCCTTCCATCAATTAATATGTTTATAATCATGGTCATCAACATCATTATCATCAATGTTCTTATAGATTGGTTCAGAAATAGGAGCCTAAAATAGCAGTGATAGGCAGTTTTCAAAATAAAATTATAAAATTATCACCCTTTGATTTCTGACTCAAGAGTTCCACATAAGGCTCATTAAAAAAAATAGAAATCTTGCCATGGTAACCATGGATCTTTTGGCTTATACATACTAACTTAATGAACTTCATTTAGTTAGAGAAGAAGCATTAAAAATATAGCCCTTTTTACACATTGATATCAATGATAAAAGAACAGGCAGCCCACAACATGGACCTAAAAATTAACTATAAGCTGAAACTTCAGATATCCATTTGTCAAATAGATCAAATGCCAATACCTACTCAAAGTACAGAGTGAGGTCTGTTGCTAATATTGACTGCTTCAAAAGCTGCATAAGGTCACTGTATTCCTTGGAGGACAAATTAGCAAAGATGTTATGACCCTGTAATGAGAAAGTAAAAAGTCACCAAACACATCATTAAGTCTCTGGGTTTTGTTTACATGTTTTTCCTATATTAAAAAAATATCTGGGAACATAATAAAATCATTTTTAAAGCTTAATAAAAAATTAAAATACAAACATTCCCTGGCAAGTACTGCAAGGCCAGGAAGTGAATCATTTTTGAGGAGGTCCACGGAGGCATCCTTGATCACATGTTCAGCGTGGGAGGGAAAACCTTTAGAAACATTTGAATTTTTCATTTTAGGGATATGTTTGTGTCAATAACTCCACTTCACTACTAATTTCCTAGGGAAGTACATGAAAGAGATGCAGGCAAAACATTTGGGAACTATTTGACCCTACCATGAATATTCCACTACTAAAGAGTTAGCTGGCATTCTAGAAATGCTTGCTGTGACAATAAGATACGTAAAAAGGCCAATAGACCAATGGTTCTTAGTGATTATAAGGAGTTTTTGTGCTCTCTGTCTCTGTCTCTGTCTCCGTCTCTGTCTTTCTCTCTGTCTCTCTCTCTGTCTCTCTTCTGTCTCTCTCTGTCTCTCTCTGTCTCTGTCTCTCTCTCTCTCTCTCTCTCTCTATATATATATATATATATTTTTTTTTTTGTCAGTCGTAGGGCCTGAGCTCTGGGCCTGGGCACTGTCCCTCAGCTCTTCAGCTCAAGGCTAGCACTCTACCACTTGAGTCACAGCGCCTTTCTGGACTTTTCTGCTTAGGTGGTGCTGAGGAATCAAACCCAGGGCCTCATGCATGCAAGGCAAGCACTCTACTGCTGAGCCACCTTCCCAGCCCTGTCTAGAGATATTTTTTGATGGTCACAACATGTTGTGATCTGCTGACATTTAAAGAGAGAAGCCATGTATGCCCAGGAGTCCTACAATGCCCATGAAACTCTGTACAACAAAGATCTACTTGGCCTAACATGACAGGACTGCTGAAGGAAAGAAAGCCTGCATATACTACTAAAATGCACTTTTAGGAAGGCCTTGCTGGATTAAACTCAGTATAAGCAAATGATTACTGAACAGCTTTTGGACTCTAGACGTAACGTTTATCTAAGAAAAGTTGCAATTACAGCTTTATCACCATACTTTGGAAAAGCTTTCTTGCTTTCATCAAAGTTTGTTAAAGCAACACTCTAGTCAAGTGAAAATTCCTTTGTAATGTGACCAAAATGCTACTTAATTTATTAGTAAAACCAAGACTCATCATGCTTTGTGTTTTTAACTGGGGAACTTTTCAGGTTTTCTTAGCATGAAATATGAACTCATAAGCTTGTGCTCTGGGAACTGGACCAATTTTAACCAGAACTGAGAGCCAGAAGATGGTAGAGAAAGGGCAAATGACTGAGAATAAACTATTCTCCAATGAAAGGTAAATTAATCCTTTCAGGGACCAAGACTATCAATTAGTAAATTACTTCTTACTAGGCATCAGATGATAATCTGCTCCCTTGAGTTAATTTATCTTATTGGGTGAACCCCCTACTCCTTAAAGACTAGAGTATATTGGTTCTACCTGGGACCAAATCCAATATTAATAATAATTTTCAAATGAACTCTTCTAGACCCTTTATTCACCCAGTAAGAGAAAGACAAATAACTAAGGGAGTGCTGTGCCATAATTCTGCCTAGATTTTTTTCTGCCTGGGTGAGCATCAATCCATGGATCAGCCATAAGCAGATATTCCAGAGCCTGGGAAAAGTGTCTGAAGGGTATAGAAAAATAATCACCTGATCTAACCATATACCCAGTATCACCTATTGAAAGAAATATAGCATTGAGGCTTAAGTTAAAAGCATTTTGACAAAGGAAAAACTAATGTGAACTTGAGAATTCTGATTATTTTACAAAGATGTGAAGTGTGTGTGTGTGTGTGTGTGTGTGTGTGTGTGTGTGTGTGTGTGTGTGTGTTGGTTCTGGGGCTTAAATTTAGGGTCTTAAACTCTCATTCAGCTTACTTGCTCCTGACTGGTGCTCTACCAATTGCACCATACGTCCAGTGTAATAGTTTGCTGGTTAATTGGAGATGGAATCTCATGGACTTTTTTTTTTTTGTCCTGGCTGTCTTTGACCCGGTATTCTTCAGATCTCAGCTTCATGAGTAGCTGGGATTACAGGTGTGCAAAGGTGCGCATTTTGCTACCTTGACAAGACATAAAGCAACTAAAACCATTTCCAGACAACACAATAACAAAACTCAAAGCTCATGAGGTCTGCTTTACTTTTTTTTTTTTTGTCAGTCGTGGGGCCTGAACTCTGGGCCCTGGGCCTGGGCGATGTCCCTCAACTAGCGCTCTACTACTTGAGCCGCAGCGCCACTTCCAGCTTTTTCTGTTTATGTGGTGCTGAGGATTCGAACACAGGGCCTCATGCACACAAGGCAAGCACTCTACCACTAAGCCACCTTCCCAACCCCAGCTTTACTTTTGAAAAGGATTAATTTACATCAGGGCATAATTTATATTAAAATTGGCTTTGTACAGTTTCTCAAGGTTTAGTCACTGAAGTAGAGCCGAGATGCCTGGAAATTCTGCTTTTTATCTTTTGTTCAGTGATATGGTATGTGTAGAGTTGATGAAAAGGAAAAAGAGAATGTGGAGGGAGAAAGGTCTGCAGTGACCTCCCTCTAGCCATCTACCTTCTCTGCATCTATGAGTCATTTGAAAGGGGGATGGGAGATAACACCTGCCTTTCTGCCTTTCTGATGGACAGGTCAGCAGGGATCAGGGAGAAATGCCCACAGAGTGTTGAATGTGACAGATGAACAGTGCCTGGTTCCATTATTACTGTTAGTGTTCCTCAGAAGAACCCCGTGTGAAGGGCAGCCAATATGTTATATTTATATGAACACAAATTCTGTGGGAGCCAAGGTTGTTTTCTCCAGGAGACTTGGCATCCTGTTTAAAATCCCTGGCTTTCTGGGGTCAGAGTGGAAAGTCTTCTCATTTTCCTTTACAGAGGAAACAGGATGAACAAAAATGCCTCCCATGGCTCCCTCCCTCTTCCTCAGCGTTCTGCTACAACATGGCATTCATAGGAAAATTACACAGTCACAGATGTGAGGATGCCAGCCAGTTCCTGAGCACCTATCCCTGGTGCTTCATTCCCAGTGGAGAATACATCACCCTGGCATGGGCACATGTGCCCTGCTCCAGTTGCATTCAGGAGAGCAGTGACTCTCCTTTATGGGGTCGAAGGTTTTTGTGATAGTGCACAAGACAAGCTTTTGCAAGATAGGCTGGAGGAAAAAAAAAACCCTCCATATTTAATGATGCTATTCCAGCGAAGCAGGACCTTAATGATGATAATAATAATAATTAATGGCACAGCTAGAGAACTGACAAATAATGGGGAACAGATGATCCCTTCTTGCCCTCACAAAAATGAGTCTGTACGCCTGCAGAAAATTAAACAGATCTTTCCCTGGCAAGTTAAAACTCAGATGCCTCAGCCAGAGTCAGCTCATGGTTTCTGTTTTTCTCTGTGGAAAGCACAATGTATAAAAATTCCAACTACTTCTAACTCCTGCCTTGCCACAGGAAGCAAAATAAGGCATATGGCATTAGCCCTGGGCCTTAGGTTTAGTTGCAATTCCCACTTTTAAACTGATCTTACCAGCAATTTTAATTTCCTTTATCTTTTATAGATTTCTTGATTATGCTATTAAAGTACTACTTTGCTTGCCCGGTTTTTGCTTATAATGTGTGTGTGTGTGTGTGTGTGTGTGTGTGTGTGTGTGTGTGTGTGTGTGTGTGTGTGTGTGTGCGTGCGTGCACTGTTGTTGGGGCTTGAACTTGGGGCCTGGGTGCTGTCATTGAGCTCTTTTGCTTAAGGCTGGTGCTCTACTTCTGTGTATTTTGAATGTTTAATTGGAATCTCATGAACTTTCCTGTCTGGGCTAGCTTCCAACTTCAATTCTCAGATCTTATCTTCCTGCTAGGATTGCAGGTGTGAGCTACTAGCACCTAGCTCTACCTCTACCATCTTTTAACTGGCTTTTGCTTTTACAAAATGGGATTGTTAGGCTACTCAGTACTTGGATCAACTCATTCCCTTCGTGGGCTTCTACATCCAGTAAGGAAGGCAAGATGGTTTGTAGTTAGGCAGCTATACCTGTTACTTATAAGTGACTATGTAAAGCTTAAGAGTGAAACTAAAAGCATCAGCTCAGGAAGAACCTGAACAAGATCCTTGATCAGGCAAGTCAAAAAATCAAGTGAGTCACCAAAGTCCAAAAGATTGACTTAAACACTGGTTCCCCATGACTCTGTGGAGACTATGAGGAAAGAGAGGTAAGAATCCTAAGTCTGCTCTTCTGTTACTGGGAGAAGTGGAGCAAGTCATACCTCACTTTGAAGGATCATCACAGCATGGTTGAAATGGTGATGTTCTAAGGTAGCCGAGGTCCCATAGAGCTGGGCCAGCGCAGAGCCACTCCTGGAAGAGGACAGAAGGTGAGGTGACCATCGCCCACACCTGTTCTTTGGATTAAGCTGCTTTTCCTGCTTTTGGAGACCACCACACCAAGTACATTCTCAGGTGACTGCTTGTCTAGTTCATTCATCTCATAAGCAAATATTCCAGAAACTTTCTATATGTAAAGCTGGATGCTGTATGATTAATAAGACACAGTCACTGCCCTTCATAAAACTAGCAAGAGAGACATGATCAGAAGAAAGGATAATGCATGCAACAATACCACCAATACAAATGTATTATAGAATAGCATTTTGGGTCCAACTTAGGTGCTGTGAGGAGACACAACATCAAGCTCTGGGAACAGTGTAGGCCTCAGGAGATTTTGAGTGCCCCCAGCAGCTCTCCTACATCAAATGTGCTTGATTGTCCATAGGAAAAGACCTTGGGAATGTTCTACAGTGTCAACAAGTGAAGCTGACAACCTTCTGTGGTCTCTGTTATCTCCAAGATACCAATGTGAGTTTCTTAGATTTGGATTCACCCTAGCCATTCCTCTGTTGGTAGTTCTGGACACTAACTTGGCCTATTTAAGCCTCAGTTTCTTAACCTCTAATATTATGATCCTATCGTCTACTCATTTGTTGTTCATGAGACCACAATAAAATATTTGAAAGTGCTTGTCACAGTGCCTGACATGGAGTAGAATATAGTCTATTTTAATTACAAATAAGTTATATATATATGCATTTATATACATGCATGTTGATATTTCCATTTTAAATCAATAAAGTTTTAATACTTGAAGGGATTATTTTGAGTTATATGTAAATTTCACTTTTATAGAACAACCTACCCAACAATAACATCAGTAAAATGATCAAAATATTCATTTTTACAATTGTCTTTTTGGAATAGTAGTTGAGCATCTTAGGAGTCAAGAAGCAGCACACTGAGGAGAAGTATATTAAAAAGAAAAGTGAGTGTAAAAAAATTATCTTCAGGTATGTCCTTCTTTGGACAGACACCAAACCTCAGAGCGTAAATCAAAATGTCCTCCACAACTTCCCTATATGCATACGTGTATATTCTTTGAGAAAAAGACTTAATGGCAGTTGGTGCAGGTATGGCTTTGAAAAGGAAACTTTGAAGAGGAAAACTATGAAAGGTAATTAGGAAATTGAGAATTGTGGGGAGTTGGTGAAGAATGGGATTAGGCTGTCATGGCAGATTAATGTGCCCCAGTATTTCACTTCTGGGACCTGGCCGAAAGCGACAAGATGGGTTTTTTTCCCCCCAAGAAATGAGTATAAGAGATTATGCTAGAAATGAATAGAAGAAGTCTCCTAGGAGAATATACTACAAAGCTGCTCGGTACTGATATTTAATCATCAGGGGCAGCTGTAATAGAGAGGGGGATGAGAGGGGAATGCTGTCCCTGGAGAAAACAGGGGAGAGGTGTGGACAGCAATTTCAGAGTGCCGTGGTACTGCTGCCTTCTCTACCCATTGATCATTCATTGCACGCACTCTAATACTTAAAAATTAGGAATAAAATATGAAAATGCAAAGGTTCACTTATCAGAAAGGCTAAGAGTATAAATCAAATTGTGCTCTAACTAAAGTCATACTTTTTTATTATAGAGGCATTTTGCATTTTATATAGCAATTTGTCCCTTGCTAAATGTCTCCTGTTTTTTAATAGCCTTATATATGAAAAAAGGTAGCATATGCTTTGCTACATAATAATTGGAGCATTTAAATTCCATTTCCAAATCCCTGGAAAGGCTGTGAAGAGTTCAAGAGAAGAGAATTAGACTCTGATCACTTTAAGAGAAGAGACTGTTGACTGTATTTTCTTATTTCTCCCACCATACTTAACACAAGGATGGGACGTAGAAATCACTGGGAATAAAAAAGGATAACACATACAGCTTTCTTCCTAGGGATGATTTAAACTCTAGTAAACCTGATGGATAAATATTATTCTGATCAATAAAAAGTTCCTACATCAGGGTATAAAAAAGTCTCTTTCAACATATACTGTCAAAGGTAATCTTAAGTGAGATTTGGTGGTCAGAAGTGGCTCCCTTAGGTTGGGCTGGTGGACAGAGCTGATAGCAAGTTAGGAATCTCGAAGTATATCCTACAATCTTGAAACAGGTGGATTTGATCATATGACATGCCAAGAAAAAAGAATTCTAGTATTTGTGACTTAATATTTAATTTGCATGAATATCATTCATTTTGGAATCACAGTTTCCAGTTTTGTAAAATTAAAGCATTTTGAAATATGACAAGGTTTAGTTCAGTTCTATAATTTTTATGACTCTATGCTTTGAGTTTCTGAATGTCAAAATATATCTTAGTTTTGTAGAGCTCATGTATCTGGCAAGATGGCCAGTAAGCTATAAGCTCAAAGGCCCAAAATAGAAGTCATAGTGTCATGGAAGAAAACAATGCAGTGGTTTAGGAATGGCTTTCAGAATAGTCTTGGGTCCAAGTCTGCTCTGCAGCATTCTGAGTAGATGAATTGGGGCACGTAACTTACCTTCCTGAGGCTTCTGTAATAATGGAGAGCAAAGTATCTACAAACATATTGGGAAGGGCTTGAGACATAGTAAACAACAAATAAATTATAATTCTCATTGTTTATGGACTTCTAGTTGCATAAAACCAAAAATAAAGTACAAGATTAACAAAAAAAATTTGTTTAAATGATTCCAGGTACTCTGAGGAAACTCAAGTGTCTTAAGTTTGACTGAGTCTCCTAAGCAATAGGAACAGTAATGGAAAAAGCCAGGGACTGTTTTTTTTTGTCTCTCTTTTAGTTGAACAGCCTTTCTTTGTGGCTTCTCCCTGAAAATCAACTTCCTTCTTTTCTCCTTTCTGCAGAATTATCTTATTATTCCTTCCAACCCCTTGGGATATTCTGTTTATAGCTGTCTCCAAAATGGCAGCCCACCTCACAAGTCTATGTAGACCTGTAGTTTAGATCCCTATTCAGGATCATGGTAACAAGCTTCAAAATTCTAGGGGGATAACATCCAATTGGATTAACTTTGATTGGGTATATACTCTTGATTCAAACCACTGAGAGCTCAGCCAGCAGTGTGTTGCAATAGGCTTTCTTGCTGAGGAGAGGTCATGGATATCAGAGCACAATTTTTGTGAATTTCAAAGAACGCTCAAGGCTCTTACTCTCGGTTTACAGGCAGAATTTAACACATTTATCTCTTCTTTATTTATAAGTGGTAGAAGGGTAGGGGGCTGAAAAGAGGGCACAAAAAGGAGATATACTAATACTAGATTTCTGGTGGGGCCATTCGCTGGGATACCATTGGCCTGGGAGAGAGAAAAATCCTTTAAAAAATAGTGAAGGGCTGGGAAGTTTGCTCAGTGGTAGAGTGCTTGTCTTGCATGCATGAGTCCCTGGGTTCAATTCCTCAGCACCACATAAGCAGAAAAAGCTGAAAGTGGTGCTGTGGCTCAAGTAGTGAGCACTAGCCTTGAGCTGAAGAGCTAAGGGACAGTGCCCAGGCCTAGAGTTCAGGTCCCATGACCAACAAAAAAGAAAAAAAAAATAGTGAAACACATAAGAACTTAAAACAAGCAACTATTAAATCCTTTAATGAAAGGGTGGGTAGTTTACTTTGGTGAGTTCTAGGTGTTTGCTACATATAGTAGAAAACCTGTGTTTATCAAAGCTATGCTTTATCATAGTCTATGAAAGAGCGTATACTTTTCTTAAAGCAATAAACTATTAAAAGTTATATTTGAATAAGATAAAATCCTACAATTCATCATTTATCAAAAATTAATCATATGCTTATTGAAAAGGCAGTACCAGGGCATTATATGGGCATAAAAATTATCAAAGAGAGATCCTCAGGGATTTAAACCCCAAATTGATACTTTTGGAGTACTTCTGATGACCAAAGGAAAAGGATGGCATTGAAGGTAAAAGAAATAGCGTATTGGGTATCAAAGAGATGTCAGTTAGCAGGACCCCCGTTGATAACTTTCAGATGTCTTATGTCTGGAAAATGGATGCTTGGGTGGAGTAGGCTGGAGGCTGAGTGGGTGCTGGGCCAGAGAAACAATGCTTGATAAGAAATGTACTCATTACCTTGCTCATGTAACTCTAACCCCTCTGCACAGTATTTTCACAATAAAAAACTTATTAAAAATAAAACAAAAAATCAAACAAACAACAACAACAACAAAAGAATCCCCTTAGAGGGATAAGCTAAGGAGTGTGATCATTATCCTAAAAGTCACAGAAGGCTAATGGGTGGCTTTTAAGATGAGGAATGACCTGATCACTTCTGTGCATCAGAATATCCTAGCGTTCAAAGCCACTGGGAGGAAAGTCAGGATGTTTTTCACAATAATCTAAGATAGCTGCAAAAGAAGCAGCAGTTTCTGCAAGAGGGCAAAGGAGGGAGACACTTTAAGGAGTTCCAAGAAGGAAGTCTGAGTGACTTATGACTTGTAGATTTCTGGTAGGGCTATTCATTGAGAGTAAGAGAGAGAGAAGACCATGCATAGTGGGAAGATTGAGAGTGAGCTGACTGGAACTTCAAGTAGGAGGTACCTCTCAAACAGCTGAAAGGAATGCCTGGAGATAAGCTGTGGGTGATGGTTCGGTTATGGACTTGAGATCCACCAGCAGATGGACAGAGGCCCACACAAAGGCTGATGGTACATGAAAACAAAAGAGAAATGAGAGGAAGCATCCACCAGTGAAAGCCAGGCAGGAGGAGATGCCTTGGAGCACACAGGGAAGAATAATATAATGATAGATGAAAATCCTTTGTGTGTGAGATAAAGAGTTTCAGGAAGGAGACAGTAATGGTCAAGAAAGGGCAGCTTTGGGCAAAGGGGAATCACTGGTTTCTCTGGTGAGATGAAACTGGAAGCCCTCGGACAGGAGTACAATTGGAGGCAAGGAAGACAATGGAGACAGATGTCTTTCCAATAAGTCTGAGAAGGAAAGAATAGAGCAGTAGCTACAGAGGGAAGTGGTGATTAAAGTGGTTTTTTTTTAAATGGGGACAAGGGACAATTGTTCATATTAATAGGATGCAGGAGAAAATGGCTGAGAGATATGAGGAAGGAAGAAGGAGGTGGAGGGTTCCAGATAAGAGAGAAGAAAGGGATCCTAAGATAGGAGGCAAAGATGGGGATGGATAGAAAAGTTTGTAGAGGTCAGGGGAGGAAATGCGGGAATTCTCTTCCATGGCCTCTGTTTTCTCTGTGAAGCAAGAGGCCAGGTGGTCTGCTGAGTGGTGTCGGGAGAGGAGGCAGATCAGGAAGTGGCTTGGGAAGAGGATGCTTGCCGTATAACACTACTAATAAAGAGGGGGACAGAGCTGGCAAGGGACACAGGGAGATTGGTAGGGAACAGCACACCCAGCCAAGTTTGGAGAGTATATATCTGAACTGTCTCAAACTCTCACAACTTTCACATTTTCTCCTAAATGTTCTAAGTCTAGGCAGAATAGACGCTAGAGCTGAGGTTTACAGAAGGGATGTCATAGAAATCAAAGAGTCAAGAAATTGTAGAAGAGAAGGTAGAAGTCGTGGGCCACAGATTGCAGGGGGATAAAGACCTCAAAATTAATTTGCTCTTGGTAGATCAGGAACAAATGCAAGAGCCCAGGACTCCAAGCCTCATTGGGAGGTTTAGGGAACAAAAGGAATGATAAGGAGATTGTTAGTGTTTCACTTAACATAGGTTGGTGACCTGGAGGTTCTGATTTCAGTCGTATGAAGGTTAATCTCACTTCTCTATAGAAGCTTCCCCTAGCTCCTCTTCACCCCAAATTGTTTCTCTTAGTCCTCTGATCTCCTGTATCATTCTATTTGCAGATAAATAGTACAAAGAACATATAAAGCCCCTAGCTCAGATTTCTATCACCTCTTAAGTTCTGTAGCCTTGGCCATTGTATAGACCACCACTATACAGTAGCTATCCTGACCAGTAGTTTGCTTAGGGACAGGTTATTCTATCCTTGCACATTATGTGCAGGGCAAATAGTTACCTACACATGTCTGTATTTATGCAGTGCCTTTGTCTTCATGTAAATAGGCATGAGAAGAACAAAGTCTATTCTATTGTATGTGGCTTTACTTTGTTACAGTTTATATAATAACCACCATCAAAGAAATCCTTGGAGCAATTTTGTTGGAAATAAAGGAATATTTTGCTTCATAAAATTTCCTAAGACCCTTTTCATTTAATAGTCTCAGAACTAGACTTGGGAGTAGCAGGTCTATGTACTTTGTCACACCATGTAGGCAAATATTCTGAGAGGGAAAATGTAGGCCCCTTAAAACTGGAGCTTCTTAACTGACTGAGGTCAACAGAGACAGACCAAATCAACAAGCATGACATGAAGGGCAAATTTGCAATTAAAAGAAGAATGGGGAATTATAAAGATGGATGGGCCCCATGACGTGCACGCCCAAGTCTGCATGGCCTTGGCCTCAAATGCCAAAAATTAATGCTTTACTCTTTAGCAATCGTCACCTTTGGCTCTGAGCAGAAAGGCAAATGCATTAAAATAACAACAAACAGAAGACTTACTTAGCTTGGAAGGCATTGTTGGTTCCCCTGTGGTCAAGGTCATGACATAGGCATCCCACAATCACGGCTAAAATTTCCACCTCAGTCAGGATCTCTTGAAACCCAGCCGTCTGGGAAGAAGGAGAAAATGGCAACAGTCACTACTGGGAGCAGGGAGGATGGATAAGGTTAGCAGGCTGTGTTGTTTTCATACCCACATCATTTGAGGAAATGATTAACTGCCACCTTCTTAGATGACAGTAAGTTGAGTGGTCAGTTGCACAGCCTATGGTCCCCACAGTGATAAATTAGTTTGCTGTCACAATGGCCCATGCTACCACACAAGCATGATGTTCCTCTTTGGAGAATGGACTTTACTATCTAGATAACAGAGATAGCTTGGTAAAGGCCCAAAGCAAAGTATGCTTTGCTGTTGTACATTTTGATGGCGAGCTTCTGGTTTGATGGTAGGGTGATAAAAAGGCAAATTTCAAACTGACACTGTCCCTACCAGATGCCACTCAAATGAGTGGTGTTAAAAGGAACAACTTGGAAATATGCAAACTGGTTCATGATCTCATTCTAGACGTTATCTTGCAACACATTAATTCATGTTACATTGTGAGCTGATTAAATTCATACAGGTAGTAAGGTGGAAACTAGAGTTTAGCAGAGCGTTAGGCAACCCAGATTGAGGAGTGAGGGAAGTACACATTGTTAATTTTTTTCCCTAACTGGTAGTTTTGTTTGTGAAATACATAGCTTTGATGTAATTTCTTCTAGAAACACTTTGATATAATTATGGGACCAAGAGAAGCAATGATTCTTGGTTCCTGCTGATCCTTTCATTAGTTTAAAAGAGGAAGTGCACCTCTGGGAAAGCTAGTCTATGAATTTTCTTGATCCAAGGCTTTTATCTTCCCCCTCTCCTTTTACTGTGAAAGTCTCCCCTTTCATTACTTATTAAAATCTTTATCAGAGGACAGGAGAAGGGGAATGAAGACTTAACTTCTTTTACTTTAGTGTGTTTCTCCTCCCAAATCTATGATCCTTGGATAGTTTATCCATAAGACACTTCTAGTAGAGCAATGAAAATGTTGTTTCATAATTAGTTATGTTACCATTGCAGAAACAATTGAGTAGTGGAGTACTGTGTTGATAATTTTTTTTTTTTTAAAAACGGAGTAACCTGCTCTGGCAGATGTTGAAATTCATCTAACTTCATTTATGTAGCAAATGAAAATGTTAACAAATTATCTGGAGTGTGAAATGGTCCATACTAAAGTTTGTATGTGCCCTTAATATAAAATTTGGTATTAATTGCTGCATTTTCTGTTTTGCTTATTTTACTTAAAGTATTTTTAAAAAATCCCATCATATTTAGAGACTTAGAGTCAAATACCAGTAATGCTTCATCCTTTCCCTTTTCTGATTCCCTAAAGACAGCCACTTAAAAAATATATGTAGTTAGTTAGGTTTCTACCACATTTCTTTATAGTATGGGCAAGTTTTAGCACTAGGTTATTCACCAGATACTTGGTCTTTACTGTGTACCTTGACCTTTGAGCTTTCAAGTTGAACAATTCTTTTAACAGTACTATGTGGTTAAGTGCTACAATTACCCCCTTTTAGATTAGGAAACTGAAGTCCCAGAGAAACTATGTTCTGTGTCCCATACCTAATACCTAGGAAAGGATACTCCCAGTGTGCCTCCTTGAGAATCTATTATAAAAAAATGATGATGTCCAGTGGCAGGTAAAGGCAAAACCCCCCAAACCTGTTCTCATACTCTCAGTATAATCCATACTCACACTTGCTTGATAATCACTCTCTAAATATTACTCACTGATGAACTAATTAGCATACAGTGATTGTTTCCTACCTAGGTTATGTAAAGATTTGCATTTCCTGGTGTTAGAATTTCTTTGAAACATCTAATACTTTTACATCACTTCGTTAAAGGAGTGCTAAACAATTGTGAGAATCAAGTGTCACACGTTTTATTTGACCCTTTGTGTCCTGGTGATGCAACTTTCCCTCACTATTAGTTAGCGATTTGCTCTTTCCTCTCCTTGCTTGATATCGTGTCCTGCAGCCCAAGTCTTTCTCTTTCCTTGATTTTTCCCTTGCTTTGCAAGAACATTAACAAAGATATTAACTTTTTATTAATTTTTAACCCTGAGTGAGCTCATTGTTTTTGGAGCTTTATGTGACTGAAGAAAATCTTTATTCTTTCTTATATTCAATTGCTAGTTTATCTGCCGCTGCATCCTACTTTTGTGGTGTCACCCGTGCCTTGGCAAGGTGCTCTTTTCATGTGTGCTCAGCCTTGAGCCCTGAGGCACTTGATAGAGACCTTGTTCTTCTTTACTAAGTTAGGAGCCAATCTTCCCTCTATTTTCTGCCTTCATAGGTTATGGGTCCAAGAAAGGGAAGGGGGGAGTTTATATCCATTTCTGTTTTTCCTGTTATTTGGTGGTTTTTTGAAGGGAACAGGAGGTATAAGTATCATCTTAAAATTGTAAATTAGCTTTGTGGGAGGGGGGCGTTTGGTCTTGCTAATGCAAAGTAAATCTTGAAAGTCTATCAAGCAAGCAATAATTATTATATAAAAGTAAATGTTTTGAACAGTGGAATTCTACTGAAATACAGAGGATTTTTTTTCCTGTGAAAATACTATCAACTAGGATGAATGAGAACAGTGGGAATAGAGATAATGTTAAGATATAGTAATTTGACTAGAAATTTATGAATACGTTAAAATCAAATTTCTTCTAAGAGATTCAAGATCAATATAACAAATCATGTAAAGCCATAAGTTAGCACCCATGATATAATAGGGTGAATCATATTTTGCTGAAGTTTTCTATAGTTACCTTTTGTTCTCTTGAAATCTAGCAACTGGCTCTAAAATTATTTCTATCATGGCTACTTTGGAGAATTTGGTGAAAACTATGGACTTTCTAGAAAATTTCCTATAATTTTGTAGCATTCAAAGACCATAGAGCCTAGCCCATCTCTGAATCCTCAGAAGAATCCCCGAAATACATACACACAGTTGCACAAAATGTATTTACCTCTCCAGACTGTGATACCTGAGTTACTGAAGCAGCACCTATCTCTTGACTGTGATTTAAAGCTGCCTCGTAAATGGTTTCTGAGACTCATCAGGCCTGAAAAGTGTCCACCTGCCACTAAGTGTCCATTTGCCCCTCCCCCGCTCTCATCCATCTTTCTTCTGGCCCTGTCCAAGCAGACCTAAATTTATCCACACTGAGCAGAAAAAGTCAGCTGCCTGCTGCTGATAATATACCTTCAAAAGGAAACAGAGAGGTAGGAGAAAGTGTATTTCAATGCATTTGCCCTACTCCTGACTCGAATTCTTATTTTATTTTTAAATAAAATATGACTTTTTTTGCTCTTCACCCAATAATTATAAATTTATTGATCTTTATGGTAATATATCTTTTCTCCTATATTTCCTCAGAGTATGTATCAAAAATTGAAGCAATGACTATGATTTCCCTAAGTAAAGAGGAAGTCAAGGCATGTAGACCTCGTTCCCAAGACTCCCTCTTCAGAGAAACCTTGTGATTGTTCTAGGCCATCATATTCTGAATGACCTCTAGACAGTTTTAACTGGGAGGTCTTGTAAACTGTGGTCAGAGAGAGACAGAGAGAGAAAGCATTCACACCAGAAGCATCTAACTTCTGGTTTAATTTCTGGGACACAGAATGTTGTGGGTTGACTGTCTAGAGCTTTCGTTTGATACATGATCAAAATCAAATTTACTATGGCTTAGAAGTACTCTTTGATGATTTTGTGCTAAATATGATCACTTCTTCAAATAAATGCCTCAAATTGCAATGCTGATGGCTGGTTTTATGGTGGAAACAGCAGTGCTGAAGGTGAAATTGATACTACTCTACAACACAACCTCCCTCGTTGTTTAAATAATTGTATTTCATTTTTAACAAATGTCTTTTGATTATCTTTAAGTAGCTGTACAAAGGTGTTAACATTCAACTGTCATTTTATCAGTATAATGCATTTTGACTGATATCTTATCTTTCATCTTTCTCTCCCATCCCTCCCAACCCAATCCCTCACTTCCATTTACTTTGTTTCATAGGATGTTCATTAAGTATTATGACCAAATTCTCTCCCAACTTCTTCCTCTTCTTTTAAGATCCCATCTTTGCTAGCTATAGAAAGTGCATGAGAAAAGGACAGGAGAGGAGAGTAGGAATCAAGAATAATCCTTTCTGGGTGGAAAACCCCACAGGACAAACTACACCATCACTGATCAATGGTTGGACTCCCTTGTGTTTAGAGTGATGTTTGCCTGAGGACATTTAAAGCTGCTGAACTGAAAAGGAGGCACTTCAGTCTCCTATTGAGGTCCAAAGGCCAGAAACTTCAGAGGATCACCATCTAGCACCAACCTATTGCATATCTCTTTTACTAGAGCATGAAGCATAATACCAATCATTTGTGCTTTGTTTAATTTTCTGTGGGAATGGGATCTTTTTTATTTAATTTGCTTCTATTTCTTCTCAAGATGAATGTAACCAAATAGTGATTTGAAATTAATTAAAGTCTATAGTGATCCTTTCTTTACCAAGCTCACAGGTGGGAAAACATTATATCTTCGTCTAAATGACTTTCTTTTACAACTCGAAGCTTCTGAAAGCACTTACTATCAAATTCTACAACCTGGCATGTTTGGAGTATATATGATTGCTAGTCTCAAATTATCTTGCAAATGTTTATCTATGTAATTCTCAGAAAGGTGAGTCAACAAGACTCAGTAGTCTGTCTGGTACAATTATGTGTTGAGTATTTGTCTCATGCACAAATGAGATACTGACTTTATACAATTATATTTAGTTATTTTAGCCCCATCCAATAATTAATTTCTAACCTACTTGTTTCCAGACTCAAAAACCTTTATTGTAGAAAGGTAAAAATATACAAATATATAGATGACTATATAGTGAACGTCATGTTATCCTTTGCCTAACGTGGCTAGGAATCCATGTATTGCCAGTCATTGTATCGTTCCTTTATTTGCAGTGTCTTGTTCACGTATCTGTTTGTTTTGTTTGCTAGAATATTTCAAAGAAGACA